ACAGCTGAAATAATTCTGAGGAACAACACTCACTGTTCTGGCATGGAGATGGTTTTGGAGCCACTACTCAGAGAGAGGGTGAGCTCTGTTATTACACAACTTCCAGATATTAAGGTTTTAAATGTAGTACTACGAGAACGTCTCCCGTCTGAGCTCTGAACTGTCGTTGTGTTGTTAATGCAGGGCTTTGGCGTCGCTGAAGGACGTCCCAAAGAGCATCTGAAGAACATGGCCAACGCTGCTGGCCAGTCATGTCGGGACTACACCCCTCCGGGAGGAGAGACTTTGGACCAGGTGAGTCAGACACAGATTGTGCTGTTGGAAAAAGTGGAAAACAGCCACTATAAAACTCAAGGTCAAGAGAATATTGCTTGTGCAACAGCGCCATGCAGTGTCCGTTGTTTATATTGCATTTCAAACTCTGAAGTCAATGTAGTTTATTTTTTATATTGCTTTTATTAAGGATTTGTTTAGGTAATTGAGTGGATTCTTAAAGTCTTCTAGTAGTCTAGATTGTTCTCAACACATAAAGAAGCATTTAATCCTTCAGTGTATCAGAAAATGTTTAAATCACCAAAAATAGACATGCATGGTTGTCATTGGACAGTGACTACAGTGTGCCTACTTCTGGTGCTGTTCTAAATGCTGATCATTTTCTGACTAAAACGGTTGTTTTTTTCTATAAAATACAGCTGAAGTTCAAAAAACAAAGATATTTCATTCATAATAATGGACAACAGAAAAAAAGCAGCAAATCCTCACATTGGAGAAGCTGCGACCTGAACATTTTGTGCATTTTGCTTCAGAAATTACTTAAAACAATCAATTATCAGGGTGCTAACCTGGTAGAGCTGGCGCCACACGTACTAAGGCTGAGGCCTTGCTGCAGCGCCCATGGGTTCGACTCTGACCTTCACCCCTTGGCTGCGTGTCGTTCCCTCTCCCTTTCTCTCTCTCTTTCCCCCTTTTCTGTCACTCTGCAGCTGTTTCTGTCCATTGAAGGCAATAAAAAAAACCCAAAACATAAATAAACATACAAACAAACATACAAACAAACTGTCACTTTGCTTCCAGGTGAGGCTGCGATTCAAAAAATTCCTCAAAGTCCTTTTCAAGCAAATGTCGGATGAACACGGCTGGTCCAGACCAGGCGCCTCCGCAGAAGCTTCAGAAGCCGGAGGCTCTGCGAACGGGACTGCAGCTGCTGCCTCAGACGCGGCTCTCGGTGGTTCGGCTGACGACGGTCTCCAGGGAGTTTCTGCCCACGTTCTGGTTGTGAGCCACGGCGCTTACATCCGTGTGGCCATCAAGCACCTTGTAGAGGACTTAAAGTGCTCTCTGCCCGCAGGGGTGAAGATGTCCCAGCTGTTTTCACCCTGTCCGAATACGGGCATCAGTCGCTTCATCCTCACTCTGAGCCAGTCCGAGTCCGGCCCAGTCCTCTCTGCTGCTCGCTGCTTCTTTACCAACCGGAAGGATCACCTGGAAAACCTCGCGGCTGCTGAGTAGTACAGAGGGAAAGAAACGGGATAGAGGTTTTATGCACAGAGTATGCATACTGTTGTGTGCACATTCTCAGACGGGAACAATCATGAACACAAAAGGGAAATATGAGGCAAAGACCTCCAAGCTACCACAGGTAACTTGAATGCAACAATGCACATGGTAATTGGTGTTTTTTTTCAATAATCAATAGCGTTTTAATGTGGATCAATAGTCAATATATTTGTGCTGTACTGTATTATCAAGCCATTTCATCCTCCTCCTAACTGTGGGCCAGTCAGCACTCCTGTTGGGCTACATCTTTAATATTTGATTGCCTCTTTTATCATGTTATACCAAAGCCAGAACTATTTAATGTATAATTGAACGCTGTCAGTCGGTGTGGCATTTTCAAGTTGACGTGTCTCATTTTACTTGTGCAATACAACATGACAACACTGAATCTTTTGAGTTTCATATACATACATATAGATAAAAGAAAATGATACAGTTTGCACATACGACAAAATGCTGTGTATTCGTTGATGGGTGCTACATGTTCACGTGTTTCAGGCGCCTTAGTATTCAATAGAAATTTTTTTTTTTTTTTATCTTTTTAGACTCAGTTTTTAATCTCCACTGAATGGCTGAGCTGTGAGTCCGTCAATATTTCAAACCCATTCTGATCTATTTATGTTAATACTGCAAAGTACAACCTAAAAACTGAAGACGTCTCATTGAACACAAATGCACTTTTACTATTCTGATATATAATATGTAACTGGAAATAGACATAGGAGACTCTAGTCTCTAGATTGCTGTGTTTCATTAATTTTGACATTACTTGCATACAGGGGCATGACCAGAAGGGGGGGGGGGGCTGAAATCTGAAAAGAGTGAAGTGATATGAAACCATGTTATGTTATGTAAGGGGGCTAAATAACGCTTCAAAGTTGGCATAGGCACTTTCAAAGGGATCCCTTGACCTCTGACCTCAAGATATCTGTATGAAAATGCATTATATGGGTACCCACGACTGTCCCCTTTGCAGAGATGTCCACTTTATGTTAACCCCATGCAGTTTTTTTTGCACGTTTTATAAATGTGTTATTTTTGCCTTGTATCTAATATATTAGAATATTTCTGCATACTGGGGTCCATAAACTGTTGGAATTGCATGAATTGGGAATGACTGAAAAGCTGAGAAACATACTTGATGCCCCACCCCTTTCAAAAAAAAGTCTGGAAACACCCCTGTTTGCATACATATTATATCTTGTCAATTATTTACTGGTTGATACACGTGGAGTATTTTCGTGTCTCTAGTTATGGAGTTGTGCTGCTCTTTTGACTTGTGCAATATAACATGACACCGAAACAACCCTTTTTTTTGTTGAGTGCTATTTTTAGTGTCACTTTTAATCTCACCCGCGAGACAAAAAGAGTTTTTTTGGCCGTGCAACTAATCAAAGCAACAATATTTCAAATATAATGTGATCTATTTATGTTAATGATACAAATATAAGACTTCCCACTGATGGGTTACACCAGCTTCTCTCACTTGATATAACATAATAGTGTCTCTAGATTGTTGTTTTTCATGGTTTTTATACATTATTTTTTAAGTTTTTTTTTTTTTTTCATCACTACAAACTGCATCGATGTAGTGTTTATTCTGCTCATTGACACATATTGATAGGTGGTAGATTTAAAGGTGCACTATGTTAGAATTATAGCTGAAAACATTCAAAAATTAACTGAAATAATCAACAGCATGTGAAGAAATAAGTATTTTATTGCCGAGATATTTACTGAACTTAACATGCTGACCAGCTACATTTGGCCCGTAATGTCTTTTAATACCACTTTGTACCTTCAGTGAGTCACTGTTGTGCAGCATCTCAGATTTTATTTATTTTTTATTTTTATAGTTAATACTAGCAAGATGAGAAGATTGACATGACTCTGTAAGCTTGGCTTAGCACAAAGACCTGAATCAGGGGAAACATCTAACCAGGCTCTGTGTTAGGGGAAACTACATCTAAATCTGCCTACCAGCTCTTCTAAAGTTTGTTTAATACATGACAAAACAAAAGTGTAAAAATGCCAAGTCGCCATCTCTCTAGTGGCGTGCACGGTGCAAGGCATTGGAAATAATGGGTTTCAGTGGCGCTGCATTGTGTCTGAAAGGGCCTATAGACCGTCGCTGAGTCACTCAAGCCCGCCCCTCTCCCATCTTCAAGTCTCGAAGCAGGAAATAGCACCAAACATCTTATTTATTTATTTATGTGGTATTTATTAATCTAAATTCTCAGATCACTGGCTTATCTTAACAAACGACCGTTCTAAGTTCACTACTTGGCGAGCTGAACTGAACCTTCGGCCCTGTTTCTCAGTCAAGCCCTGAACGAATCTTTTAAATGAACCGATTCTAACGATTCACTAAAAAGAACCGCTTTGCCCATCGCTACTGGGACCAGCCACTTCCTGGGTGGTTGCCTGGAAACTGCAGCAGCGGAATCGGTCTTATCCTAAACATCAGACTGTTCTGTGAACAAGTCAAAGGTTAATGGGTGACACTGAGCAGTTTATCAGTTAGCTGAAGTGAAAATGGCACTAAGTGTATTTTTAGAGCGATGTGACTCAGCTGCAGCTCGTGTACCTGTGTGCTAAAGAAGCAGAAGAGGTGTGAAAGTGCAGCTAATGAGCGGAACTGCTTAGTAACTGGGTCAATGTTAAACTCGCTAAACATGTTCATGACTTCCTTTCAGACAGCACGTCACAAGGTGTGAAAAAAATTCCACAGGTATACAGGTTCACATAACACACAACACTCAACATGTTTTCTTTGTTAGTTTATTTTGTCCCAGATTCAAGCAACACCATCAACAACTCCAACTCATACATTCAAAGACAAACTTTTCTTATATGTACATTTAACTGTAAAGCATCCTTATAAATACCATAAATAACAACAAAGGAGTGGAATTAAATAAATAAATACTCTTCGGGACTGGTTTTCGTGTTTTGCTGGTGGTGCCCAGCACCTGTAAGTTCACATAGTAAGAGTTCAGATTTGATATCAAGATTACTGCTCTGTAAAGGTTGTTTACCCTGTAGTTATATTCATTCAAGTCATGAATTAGATTGTACAAATACAGATAGATTAACACAGCAAATACTGCGATTGTAGTGCAGTGTCATTGTAGTGAAATGCAGTTTGGAAAAGTCTTTGGAAAATTTACGTTTTAGGTTAAAAATCTATGAATAAACAAACTTCAAATGTTCTATATGCAACTCAGTAAACATAGGACTCAAAAAACTTAACCTTAATTCTACTAAATGCAACTTTTAAGTATATTCGTGTATATATTTTGGTTTAAAAATCATGCCTGCCTAGTTTCACATCAGTAGACAGGGCCTTCAGTCCTCCAGAGGTAGGCTAAGTTAGGCTTCTGTCTTGAGATAACATCACTTTGAAATGTGGGTTTCTCAGACCAGCTGTAAAAACCTCAATAAGAAGAAACAAACAAAAAAAAAACCACATGCTGACTGATTATTACTTTCTAAGGCTTTGTTTGCTTTTATGATATTCCTGCTTTACACAGACATTGGCAGGCAATTGCATCCTAACAAGTTCTTCAGGGAAGCCAAACAGTGTTTCATGAATAATTAAATCAACTTCTACCGCCATTTCTCATCTAAGCTTTAGCTCAGTGCCTGAGAATGCCAATAAATAAAACTAATTATAATGGATGGGGGTGGGAAATTGATTTGGATCACTCATCTTGGCACATAAAGACATATTTGGCTGTACTGAAATCCCTGTATCCACATTTTCCCAATTTATCACCAAAATATATTCACTATATAAGATGAATCCAGGCAGAACACACAATTTAACTTAAATCTGCAGTGATCTCAAAGCAGGAGATTTATATATAAATTTATATATTTTTTAAAAAATGAGTTTTAACACTGTAAATTGTGCAAAAGGGGCTGCAAGTCAAGTGTAACATTTTAGTGTGTAAGTACACTGAACGAGTGATGATTCAAAAGACGTGTTTTAGTCAACCTGAATGCTGGCCTTTGAGTCTTTAAAAATGAAATGTTAATGCCGTTTTTTCTCTCATATGATCATAAACTACAAAGTTAAACTTAGACTCACGCAGACTAAGTATATATATATATATATATCAGTCACCACTAAAATCACCCCATGGTCCCGGTGCTCCGGGGGCTGGCCGGGTTGGACGAGTGCACGTTCCAGGGGTCGTGGGTGGACGGAGCCAGCGGCGTCTCCCGGGACACGTTGCGCCCATCGTCCCCAACCTCCACCTCCACCTCCAGGTCGGCGTCGTCTTCCGGCACGGCCCGAGAGTCGGAGCCCTCCTCGGTCTGACCCAAGTAGACGCTGTGCGGGTCGGATGGATCCACCAGCTGGTTCCTCTTCTCCCTGTGCAGCAGGAGGCGTTCCAGCGGCACCGTGTTCTTCTTGGGCAGGAAGAGGGAGGTCTGCGGCAGGTTCTGGCCCGCTGAGAACACCTGCCGGGAGCCTTCCAGGTTGAACAGGATGCCGGTCCGGCACGAGTAGTACACGTCCCGGTTGTTCTCCAGAAGTCTGTGGTTGAACAGACAGTCGTCCCTGAGGCAGGTGGGCTGAAAGAGGGAGGGAGAAGGAGGAAATTAATCTTTACAGCATAGGAATAAAACTTTTTTTTTATGTTAAAACATCAGTTTGTCGGTTTGGTAAAGTCAGAGTAATCATCTCCAAATACGCTACTGAATATAAGCCCGAATAAACTAAACGGACGTATGGCTTAATAAAATAGGACGTAATAAAAAGGCGTTTCATTCTCTTTCCGAAATTATGACTTAATCAGACACTTGTTAGGCTTTATGAAGTAAATCTAATAACATCATCATCGGGCTTGAGGTAATGTCCTTATATTTCTAATACGAATCAGTAATTTCCTAGATATCAGTGATTGTCTCTTTGTTTTAAGGGACCAGTCTACTATTAACAAGTAAAACTGACTAAATAACTTCGCCACTACAAGAAGTTTGTTTACTTGATAACTATTACATCATATAAAAGAAATACAATGAATAAACAACCTACATTTGCAGTAATCTTTGTGCGCAAAAGTGCGTAAAAGGACTGGAAACTGATTAAAACTATGCGTAAAACCCCGCAATGGTGGCAAATATGAACACAAAACTAAACGTTTAGGGGTTCGACTTGGTAATAGTAGCATTTGAGTAATTAAAAAAAATATTAAATGGATGCTTAGACATCCTATAATTGCAGTAGATCTGTGCGTAAAATGAAAACTCCTTCTCGAAAGCGATTTTAAAACTATGCGTAAAAGCTCACAATGGTGCAAAGTTAGACGAACTCAGAATTAGAAGTTAATAATAAGGAATGGTTTGCATTAACAGTAACAAAAATGAATTAATTATTGGCTTACAGAGCTGAATGGGTTCCCCTCCAAATCCATACACAGGTAACGGCTACTTTTAACGCCGAGGATGGCAATGCGCTCCCTTGTTTCAGCTTTCAGTAAAATCACACCTGCAGAGAAGAAAAGGCAATGAGCATTAGTGTGTAAAGGACAGAACTTCATAATGTTACATTACCAAAATAAAACTGAAACTTTTTAAAAACACATCTTACTATATGAACTCCTGACTGTAGTTTTGCGCACAGTGCCATCTAATCTGATCTCCAAGTAGAAGTTGTTGAGGTCTGTGGATGTCTGCAGGTGAACATATCTCCTCGGGTTCCCCCAGTTGGATCCAACCAGCGGCGACGGGTTCGGGGCCGTTTCCCCGAGAGGAAATCCCTGGAGGACAGCGAGTAAGAGCGCCAGCACAGTGTCCCTCAAGCCAAATCCTCTGTTGACGTCCATCCTGGAGCAAACCGGTTGTTTCCACTGCGAGCTGCTGGAAGTTTTCAGATGCTCTGTTGTCCCAAAGTTTGGAGACAGTTCCTATTTAAAGCCCCCCGAGTGCCACTCCTGCTCACATCCTTTGCGTAAAAAAAGAAAAGAAACTCGCCCCCAAAGCAGATGTGCGGGTTTGCAGCAGCGGAAGGGCCACTTCCACCTCTGTCTGTTTATCCCGATGCCCTTGGTCAGACAGGACTCTTATTTTTGGTGACACGTCTTGACTCATCCACCTTAAACATTATTATAAGCCTATTTCCTAATTGGCCAAAGTCCACTGGTTCTTTCTTGTTTTTTTTTTTTTTTTTGTTTTGTTTTTGTTTAGTCTGGAAACACTACACATTGGGCAATATAAAAAAATAAAGAAAAATAAAACAAAAATAAAGCACATAAATGCAGACGAGCGATACAAAAGTATGTGTTCATTAAATCAGATACATATAGGCCTAGTCTACTATTAGTTAGTTGTCAGTTTGTTGAACTTATGTCTTTAATTCGTGCAAACTCTAGAATATCTTAATTATTTAATTAATTAAGCGTCATATTAGATATTTCACAGTTTTGTTTAACCACAATAAACCGGAAGTTTAGTCATAGTTTGAAGTGAGTTCACTTTGCTGCTTTTACGCACCTTCCAAAGTCGACATTGTCACCATTTCACCAGCAGAGGGAGCCACTCCATCATTTAGTGTACTTTTACTGGGAGACTGTGGAGTTACACTTGACTGGCTAAACTATTTTTGGGTGCTGTAGTTTCAGCATAGGACACATTGAACTGTATACCAGTATGAGGAATACTCCTAAAAGTTGATCTTGTTTTAGGGAATCCACTAAAAGCTTTCAACAGCTTCTCTTCAAAATAATGTTTCTTTCTCCAGGGAATTAAATTCCCCAAATCAAGATATTGTAGTGCAGTTAAATCTTCCCCTTCCACTCAAAAATATGTTTTTCCTCTTGTTCCTACAGTTGGATGTTTGAGCTTCACTGTGCAGAATGATGTCTTTGCAGAGTTTGACACTAGAAGGATGTTTTCACATTCATCTGCCGAAAGTAGAAAAGTTTCTCTGTGCTCATTGAAAAATCTGAATTTTAAGGGGCGGGGCCTACAAGCATGATTTGTGACATCACAAATAGTTTGGAAGTCAACCCTGGTCCAGTGTGCAACTTATACATATATAAGGGTGACGTAGAAACTTGAAGCCACCGGTGCACATACACCGAGAAAGGACCTTACAGTGAAGTAGGAGACATGACATTCATTTAAAAATGAACAAAATTTGTGGAGTAGATGACTTTTTAAGGATTTTAATTAGGAAATTATACTTTTTTGTGGAAGAAACATATAGGTATGTTTTTTTATTAGTTTAGAAACTCCTGAATAAAGGAAATCGCTTTCACCTTCTGTGGAGTCTGGAGTTCTCATTCCCAGGTTGTCAAATACAGACCTCAGTGGAGTGGCAATCTGCTAGATTCCAGTAAATTCTACATACTGGTACTTTTAAAAAAGCAGTGTCTAGTTTTGGGCCTCTTGTCATGATGTTTCAGGTGTCTGAGAGTTGTTTGTAGTTCCACACCACAGTGATAGCCCTTCTAAACTTCTCATATAGTTTCAATAAGAAAGAGACAAATAGGGAAATATTTATCAGCTCATGACCCAACAGATTTATAATGTGACCCTGTTGGGGGGCCCGACCCTTAGGTTGAGAACCACCTGACCAAACTAGTGTATATAAAGTAGTTAAAACTCGCTCCACCTTGAGCAAGTACTAGTTAAATGCTGTTTACACATCGATGCTCCAGTACAGACACAGAACAGGTACTTTAACTTTAAATACTTTAAATACATTTTACTGAGAATTTGAATTTTGAATGCAGGACTTTTACTTGAAATTTTTTTTTTATTGCTGTACTGGTACTTTTACATGAGTCTGAGTACTTCTTCCAGCACTGCTAGATACACAATCACATCAGAGTTTGATCCAACAGAGAGAACAACACTTTACCAGCAACCAGTTAAAAAAAAAACTTTTATTGTTATCTCAGGAATACAGTAGACTGCTGTGCACAGCACATACGTACAAAAATAAAAGGAAAAAACTTTAATATCCTTACTTAGCATTGTCTGTTTTTCCGAAACAAATAACTGAAGTTTGTTTCGTCTTAATTTACACTCATCAGCAAACCAAAACTAAGGCAGAGGGTGAGGTATATGAGAACAGAGATGAGAGGAATAGAGTGGAGGCTCACTCCCTTGTAGAGCAGGAGTTAAAAACAAAAAAAACACATGAAGCACACACCCCTAATTAAGCTTGGGGCTCAGGCATGCTAGTAGTACATTAAACATTATTTAAAAAAAAAGATATTCCTCACCTTAAAATTAATTTAAATTTGATCTATGATATGCTGTGGAAAGAAAAGAGACGACAGATAACTCTGGATAAAATTTTTTGGTCAAAGCTGAAAGGTGAGCTTTTTGTTTTAGACACAGACCTTTACTCTTTTAGGGATCCAGCTCTATTTCTTGACAGAAAAAAAATGTGAGAAAACTCCCTTCTTTAGGCTAGCTTATAATCAAGATGTTGTTAATAAGGTGCTGCTAGAGACGCCACACATCTTGACTGTGAGGCGGGCACGAGAAGTGCTCATTGCTGTGCATGCGCAAAGTTCACTTCCACGCCTTCCACAGCCGAAAATGCTGAAACTGTGGATTTTGTATGCTACGATTTACTCCCAACAAGAAATGAGTAGTATTTCATGCAGCCTCATCTACAACAGCAACAAGTCTTTTTAGCTAAGCTCCCGATACATTAGCTCTGCTGTGTTGCATCTCGGCATAAAAAAAAAGTCCTTGGGGGGAAAAAAGAGAAAGAGTGAGATATTTAACTGTGAGTAAAATACTGTTATGAATCAATCTGTGTGTCATAGACAGTTGAGCAGCAGGTGATACTGTGTCAGTATGTGGTAGAAGATGTTTGGGGGTCGGGGCAGTGTCCAGCAGCAGCAGTAGCAGCAGCAACAGCAGTAGAGGGCACGTCCTGAGGATGGCTGAGGTTGCCGTCCTGCAGGGCTGGAGTGCAGCAGGAGAGGTGAGGCTCTGCGTGACTCTGCTCCTCACACACTGCATTAACTCTGCAGATGTCCCCTCCCCAGAAATATCCCAACACAAGTACTTGGAAAGGGGAGGGGACGGCGTGTTGTGGAGCTGCATTTCAAAGAGGTGGGGCTCTAAATTCGGAAAGGGGAAGTGGGATTGTTTTAAAAAAGAACTATGATAGCTACCAGTCAGTTGGAGAGCAACTCTCGGGCATAAAATAAAGTGTTTCCTGTGTCAAAAAGACACTTTAAATCCCAATTTCATGGAAACAGTATGACCCATATAGCCGACCACCCCGGCCACTGGGGTTGGGGCCAAGGCTGGTCTGTGACTCTGACCTTGAACTAAAAAAGGCTGAAAGGAGAGGAGGAAGCTCCTGGGTTACAGCTGGAATCCCAAGGTCCCTGCCTGCAGCGGGTAAGGGGGGTAAGGGACAGGCAGAGGTGGGTGGTTGGGGGTGACAGAGCTCAGGGGTATGTGGGAGGCTGCCTGTCATCCTGGAAGATCCACATTCCTGCAGGGGGTCTGACGAACAACAAAGACAGCGGGCCGGCTCCCTAGCATACGTCTTTCCTGGATTTAAATAGTCCTGCTTCCTCTCTAAATGCAAGAACGAATGGAGGCTGATTTCAGGTTGTCAAGTAAACAGCTGCTGAAGCTACACAAGTAGATGCACGCTGTAAGATTCTCAGAAACTGGGGGAAGCAAGAAAAGCATCCTTGGAATATGTAACAAGATATTGACTATATATTGGTTCACACAATATCAATAAGTGTCCCAAGCATGGTACATCTTCAGCTTTGTAAACAAACTGAATACCCTATTATATATTAACAGGGTGCTCCCTTCATGCCCATGTCTCAAATGTATAAAATCAGGATAAATATCAACAGAAGTGACGGCATTTCTTATAGCGTGCATCCAGTCCATCAACTGCACTGTCCTTTAGTCCTTCGGGGGGACCCGACTGCCTCATCCATAATTACATTTAAAACTATCTGCCTCCAGCTCCCAACACCTCGCTGCCACTGCAGTGCTGCTGCAGAGCACACAGACTAGCGGGTGAAATGGCCCAGGACACGTGCATACTCCACCGAACGCACAAAGATAAATTAAGAGACCAACACATGGGAACGATTCTTACCAAAACATTTAGGCACCATCATCGATGGTTAACTGTGCAACCTGAACTCTTTTTGCCTCGTACAGGCAACTGCGACAAAGCAGCGTAAAAAGCTCCTGAATTCTTCTTTTACATTTGCAACTATTTACATCGTTATTCATTGGTTTTTCATGGACAGTAGACATCATTTTCAGCAGCAGCTAAAGCTTTGCGATTCAGAAACAGCAACCCGCTTTACTGCAGGAGCTCTGTCCAAGACAATGTGCAGGTACATTTCTACTGTGCGCTTGCTAGCTATCCGTTCAGTCTATTCTTGTGCAGCCAAGTCCAAACCAGAATGTTCTCCATGCTCAGATAGATTAGTATTCCACCCTGTTTATTTGCTGGCGATGCCACACAGTCAAACCTATGGCCTCGGGCCAGTCTCTATGGCTGACCGCTCTCTGGTCTCGACCACAGATTGTATATTACTTAATCGATCTAATTACAGAAAAGAAAATAAACCAGAGATAGTCAACCCCCCCTCTCTGAGGCCCTCTCCGGAGTGTCAGCCCTATTTCTGACTCCAGCGGGTGTCTCTTACATGCAAGTTTAAGGGGGCCACAAGTGGGAACACCAAGGCACCTTTAAATCGTGCAGCAAAGGTAGTGCATTTAAGTTTCCCCCACTGCTGGACATCGATAATCGAGCAGGGAGCCGTCAAGCGCTCAAAGGTTTTAAAGAAATGATAAACTTAGCAGATATTTGAGCAGAAGTCCATGCATCCCTTAATCTAGTAAAGTGGTTCTTTGAGGTAATAAAAAGTATTCATTTCACTCTTTAAAAGCACAGGATATAGCTCATCCTCCATCTCAAAAAAGGAAGTGACACGTAGTTCAGTTACAGCAAGCACCAAGGTAAAGTGAGACAGGCAAAGGCTTCAACTCTCCCCGTCCATAAAAACAATAAGCAGCACAGTACATATACAAAGATAGCTATCCAAATATACATATATATAAACAGAATAAATATTTGTGTTTTCTTTCGCAGTCCATCGGTGTGTATATCATCATGACTATGTGTTTCTATGTTACCTGGAAGAACATCCACATGTGCAAAGTACTGAGTTATTGACAGTTTCTCTCATAGCCGCGGGAGGAAATGTGTGACGGTCATGGCGGTGGTGGCCTTGTTGCCTCTCTTTACGCGGCCATGCTTGCTGAGGGCAATATAGAAGCCCTTGTAAACAAAAGACTCATAGGCGTTGTAGTTGTTGGGCAGCAAAGTCTCCTTGAACTTGCACTCATCCACGAAGACTCTCTAAAAAACGGCAAAAGAGAAAAGACAGAGAGAGAGAGAGTAGGAGAGAGAGAGAGAGAGAGAGGGGGTCAGTAAATCCCATGACAGACGCAGGATGAACATCACAACATATGCATGGTTTCCACGTGACCTTTACTTTGGCAGACAGCCTGCCTACAAAGCATGCTTTGAGGGAAACTGGAGGAGGTGGCATGTTGTTGCAAAAGAAATGCCCCTTTCGAATGCAGATGGCAGCCTCTTGCTTTTACTGCTGAACTCATAAAATAATCGCAGGTAGGTCAACTGTAAATTATAATATTACAACTAATTCAAAGGGGGATAAGCCACAATCAAATAAACAACATGTAGGCCTACAGCAGAGACATAGTATGGTTTCACACATTGTCTAACCCCATTTGGCCAAAATAAATATAGTTTTATATTCTTTATTACAACCATAAAGCTAGAGTTGAGTATATTTTTCAAGGTTTAACTTCTCAAATGTTAAATATTGATTAAACACGAGCAGTCGCACAACAACTGCTGAAACAAAAAAGCCTTAAACTGGCAAAAAATTATGAATCGAATCAGGAACTGTCTCATAAAAGAGTATGACAAGAAAATCAAAGCACATTGATTTTGGTACATTCAACACTCAAGGCTACTAAAAAAGTAATGAGGTTTGATAGCCAGCGTTGTGTAAAGCTGTTTGATCTGTTGTGGTGAAATTAAAATCTAGGTTTGTATGGGTGCCACCGTTTTTATATTTTCTCCTCTAAGAGCTACATAAGATAAATTAATTCATCTTAGAGGCTCATTACAGGTGCACAGTCTATACTGTATATATAGTGCCCCCACTGTAGTGTGCACACTTTAATACTGTATATAGTATTAAACAAAGCTGGCCTACTTTTAAAGACAGGATACATCTAAGTTAAAGGTTTGTCTTCTCATTGGTTTTAATCATGAAATATTCTCGCTTATTGTTTGACTGTTAACCAGCAGCCGTGACAGATTAATGTTCTCTGTGTCTGCTTTGATGAACTAGGTGAGAAACAAATCTAAAATATAATATAAGAAAATACATTCACTCACATATTGTACTTTCTTATGTATTTTTAGTATTTTATGCTACTTCATACTTCTGTTTCACTACATTTTGGAGGAAATTACTGAACTTTATACTCCACAACATTTATCTGAATGACTGATCTGAGTGACTTTGCAGACTTTACATGATCAGTTTATCAAATATGATGCATAATGGAAAAATAAACTACCCAAATGTGTATAATTTAACTGAAATGTGCTCCCTCTCAGGCAGCTACAGCATAAAAATGCTGCTTTCGTGTTACTACTCACAATAATCAAATACAATATACACTGACAGGGGCCACTCTGTTGCATGATGGGTACTTTTATATTTACTTATATGTACTTTTTACCTCACTACAATGTTGATTGCACTGGTAATGGAGTACTTTTATACTGTGGTAATACTAATTTTACTTGAGTAGTGAATCTTTCTGACACAGAGCAGAAGATTTTGACATTAAAGCCCCCCCCCCACCCATCATCAGAGCATATTAATAACACAACAGTGCTCATAAACCCACGGATGCAGCAGCTACATGAACTCATCTTACACTGAGCAGGATTGTGTGTGTGTGTGTGTGTGTGTGTGTGTGTGTGTGTGTGTGTGTGTGTGTGTGTGTGAATTTGAGTGTGTGTGTGCGCACAAACGCACCGTTCCGTATAACCTTCCCCTGCTGTTCATTGCGACAAACAGCTCACTCCTCACTCCGAACAAGCTGATCACTCCTCGGTCCACGGTGGAGATCTCTATGAGACCTAAACGAAACACAAATGTTAGGGAGGGGGGGGAAGCAAAAGACAGCGTCTCACTGCGACTGTGGACAAAGTCGAGTAACTGGCCTATGCAGCAGTGATGGGTGTAACCTTGCAGGTGCATTGCGACTGGATGATGCTCTCTCTGCTCAATTAGCCCTTTGGAATATCCACCTATTTGCAGTTTCAACATTAAGACGCACAGTGCGTGCAGTTTACAGCGTGCTGAGTGGGGTCTCTCTCTCTCTCTTGTGTGTGTGTGTGTGTGTGTGTGTGTGTCCTGCTGCAGCGGGACGCAGGGTAAAAATAAGTTAGCGTCTAAACTGGGTCCAAGCATTCATGTCATGTTTTTGGCTTGGGAGGATATTTCGCACTGCACGGATGTAAGGCTCGGTACACTGTTTTTGCTTTCGGAAACTTTCAACCATGCCGACACCTCTTATTAAATATCATGCAAAGACAAGTTGACCCGCTCTAACTTTTACACAGCCTGCGCATAGGGTTACGCTCTTTTTTCGGGTCCAGCGCGTTTGCCGGATGGGACTCACTGTATTGGTTCTCATTGTGTGCACCGCTTATCCTGCCGTCCGGGAGCACCTGCAGGTGAAACCCAATGCCCACGTTGCAGTACAGTCGTCGCACTCTTTTGATGCCCTGCAAATAGTCACTCTCCCAGTTCAGCTCCGATTTCCCCCCGGCTATACCCAGGTAGGAGCGGGAGAAGAGGGTCTCCCACTTCTTTTCCAATAAAGTCGCATTAGTCCTGCTCGGAATCGGATAAGATGAAACGATCCCCCAGAGAGAAGTCCACAGTACAATAACTGCTGGCAGCGTCCAGTGCGTCCTGGCCCCGCTGGACATACTGTAGAGGCACCTTTGCGCAATGGCCATCCAGTTTACCTTTGGGGCACGTGGTCAAAGTTACCTGCCCTAAAAATGCAACTCTTCTGATTTTTTGTCCTTTGGCATGGTGGTGGTAAAGGCTTATTTTGGGATAAAGGCAGATCAAGGCCCCATAGCCCGGGATCTGAGCAGGAGGAGAGGGACAGAGCGCGTCGGAGCTTGAATTGGTGCCGGTGGCGATGATCATCTTTCGCCGCTCCGCGCCTCTGTACAGGCAACGCTGGCCGTGGAGGGGACACCACTCACCGCAAAACCAGCTCACCTTGCGCGACTCTCACATCCTAAAATGACATCACTGTGACTTCACCGCTGCAACCCCCCCATCAAAAGTAGCAGATGGGAGGAGGAGGAATAGGAGGAGGAGGAGGAGAAGAGAGAGAGAGAGAGAGGGAGAGAGAGAGAGAGAGAGTTACAGGACCCCAGCAGCAGCAGTTCTGATAGGAATGATGGGGGGGTGCTGCACCTTCACATTAGCGTCAAACAAGCCAAATAGAATAAGATGAAGCGTTTCCTTTGGTACTTTTCAAAATAAAATCCTTATCAGTGTGAGTGTGTCGCAACTCCTGCAAGTATCAAGTCCCTGCATCACTTCACCTCCCAAAAGGTCCAAAGCCAACAAAATAAACTACACATTTAAGGGAGAAATTGAATAAATGCTTCCATACAAAGCACAAGCAGTTCATTTGAAAATTATGTGAATCATGGCCTCCACAAACACCAAAACCTACAGAGATTTTTGGACTGATATGTTAGCCAATGCATGGTGTTCATCCAGAGACTAACATGTATACACTGAAGCTTCAGGCAGCTTTCGGATACCTTACTAAGACACCTTATTATTTTGTCACCCACCAGCACAAGAAACATTGAGCAATAGTGCAAATAATGTCATTAAAACAGGTTTGTCAGTGTGTCATGACTTTTAGAATCTCAATTTAATTGATAGTAATTAAAACTAAGTTTAGGATGGATCGATAATAAATACAAAGGATGCAATATGTACTGTACATTTATATTAAAAGTTTGGTAAATGAGGTGGAAAACAGCTAATTAAAACACAAGGACTGCAACTAACTTTGATTTATTTACTGATTATATTTCATTTAATTGAGTAATTGTTTATTTTATTTGTCAGACAACAGTAAAAAAAATTCCCAGAGCCCAAAGGAGGGAGTCTTACAGTTGCTTTGGTTTGTACAACCAGCTGTCCACAGAAGAGCTTAAACTGAATCCTTTTGACATTCTGACTGTTGGTCAGGCAAAATGAGACATTTGAAGTCTTTTATCTTGACATTTCATAGGCAGTTAATCAAAAGAATTACAGACTGTTCTGTAATTCTGAGAAAGTTCTTGTTAGTTAAGCCCAAAAAGACTGTATTTAAGTTGAGGATAGGTCTAAATTTTAAATTAAGGTTTAGGAACTAAGGTACTAAGAAAAGAAAAACATGGTATTGTGTCCTAAATGTTATTTTCATGTCACAAAATGCATATGAATGGACATAAAATCTCATGTCAAATAAATTCTCCCCAAATTGAGACGTTTTGTGCTTTTATTTTGAAGGTTATCTAACCTACTTTATCAGTCTTCCTCTGGCTAATTGTGGCTGACCTGATGCAGCTCTTCCTCACATAGGAGACCTGCAAGAGGGGAGGGTGTGTGTGTGTGTGTGTGTGTGTGTGTTTCATTGGCGTTGAGCAATCATGGGATGGATGGATGGATACTGTGTCCAGAACCCAAATCGGGACGGTGGTCATATGTCCTGGCAGCCTGCTGCCTTATTTAGAAGGAAGGTGTAAAAACAGTCACAGTCAGTTACAGGAGAGCAAATGGCAATCCTGTCTGACACTTCCTTAGCTGTTTGTTCAGGAAGTTTACATAACCAGATACTTTGCCTGGTCAGATTGCGCGTTATTATTGTAAGTAACACACACTGCAACTGACAGAATAATATAATCTGCATGAGGCAAATACACGGCATTGTTTTGGTTATTGCATTGAGTTCAGGTTCAGAGATAAAGCGGGAAGGGAAATGTACAAAAAGACCTGCCATTGGTGATCATAATACGGCAAAAATCACATTTTTTATTTAGAAAATTACACATTTGTGCTAAAAACGTCCCCTTAAAAAGTCCAAAATAGATAAAAACAAGTTGACGTTACTTATTCTATAGTACATATCACGCTAACCTCTAAAAGTTGAGTAATATAGACACTGGGTCCACCCTCTTTTACGTCCCTGTTTGCATCCCGTCCTGCAGGGTGCGGGTAGGAGAAGAAGACTCGGGGGAATTCCTAACGCGTCACAGAGCACCAGGCTCTGGGGCCCCGAGGTGCTCTCGGCTGCCAGGGAGCCTCAGGCCCACCTTAGCAACCAGACAGGCCTTGTTGCTGATAAACAGCAGTGGCAAGACAACCCATAATGGAAAAACAACAAACAAACAATACATTTCATATAGTCAATGTGAGATATGAATAAAATATGAATACATTTTATGTTGCAAGTATATGTTTTAATAAACCTAAAAAGATCCATTATATGCTGTTAACATTAATGCAAATATACGTCTATAGTTAATATGTATGTAATATAATAATATGTATTTACAAGATATAAGTACACATCACGACAAATACTGCCGTAATCAGATACAAAACAATATTCAAACTAATTAACCCCATTCTGCTATTAAATATTATCACACCAATCAGTCCACACATGTAAAACATAGTGGTAAAAGTAATTTAGTAAATATTGTACTTAAGTACAATGTTAAAGTATGTGTATTATGCATTTAGTGCACATTTATATTAAGCTAAATACTTTTTGCCTACGTTTTTACTCAACTACATTTATCTGACAGTTATAGTTGATTGTAAATAACATTTTAAATACAAAACATATCATCAGTTAATGAAATATGATGCATATTTCTATTAAAAAAATAGCTATAAATAGCTCCACCTCAACCTACTACAACAAAACTTCAACATACACAATAATGCCTCAGTAGAAACAATCCGTTAATACTTTTCTGGAATATTAGTACTTTTGATACATAGTTTTGAAGATACTACTTGTGTACTTTCACTTTCACTAAAACTATTGAATATAGGACCTTTTACTTGCACTTTATTTAAATTATGTTATTACTCTTTTTTACTTAAAGCTGCAACACGGAACTTCAATTTTATGTAACTTAGACTCTGGCGGCCCCTGTGGACAATAGCGGTAGTGTTTTCCACCGCCACGTTTAATTGATTTCAAGGGGAAATACGATAGAATCCGACCCAATGGCAAGCATGTACGCCATATAGAGGCATCAGTATTAAATTGCGACTGTTTCATAACCAGTTAAAAACTCCTTGTAGTAGTTTTAAGTCTTCCAGTAGCCTTCAACATGTTATTTTGTGAGTTTTTAACCGTTATACCATGGCAAAGGTACGTCGTCCTCTCGGTCCCTCTTTGGAAAGCTTTATACCTGCTCATCAGTGTTAGCCTGCTGATGTTGGCATTTAGCTGAAAGCACCACTGTGCCAAAGTACAGCCTCACAGAGCCACGAGTGTGGCTGTAGACCCGTTATTAGTTCTAATAACAAAGAGTCTACAGAAACAACATATACAAGGTTACAATTCGAACATAAACATCGAAATATGACTGAAAGAATGAAGTAAAAGAGAAAATCAGGACTTTTTAGTCCCACTGGAGCAGATAGACTGAACCACACCGAATAGCAAATTAATGAGACAGCCTCTTGATTTGCTGTGTAAGCACATGGCTATGCAATCCAACAACCTGAATAGACAAAACTACTGGGTTATTGACAGAGTGTAACTTCAATCAATGGAGAGTGGGCACATAATGAGACGGTGCTGAGCTCTTGAGATTAATTCAGCTAATACTGTTATACTGGCATGACGCTGATGCTGCTATTTTAGTAACAACACCTTTTCAAAATGCAAAATTAAAAAGCAAATGCACAGAATTGCACAATGTGATACCACTTACCCGTAAATATTAATTTACATTTATATTAAGTATATATTAATGTGATTTGTCTATTGTGTTTTCACTATCAATTAATTTGCTAATTATTTTCTTGATTGATTGTTTGGCCTATAAAATGTCAGAAAACAGTAATCTGTGGCGTAAATTAAGACAAAGGAAAGTAGCAAATTTCTCACATTTGCGAAGCTGGAGCTATCATATGACTTAAAGGGGTACCCCGGTGATTTACTATTGCACTTCCATAAAGTTGTGGGACTCACAATAGACAGATTAAAACAAGAATGGTCAGAATTGAAGCAGCGGAGGTTGAGATATTGCGGTTTTAAGCAGTCTAAACTTGAAAAACTACATTTCCCATAATTCCACGCAATCATATTGTTCATTACAACCTCCCTGCCTCCTAAATGATTGTTTTTTCAACCTCCACACCTGCAGTTTGTATAGTAGGCTTTCTTTGATTTTTTTTAGTCTTGAGCTCAGCCAAAATAACTCGTAGTAGTAGTAAAAACAGTGAAGTTCCCTTTTAAACTACTAATAGATTATCTAAATAGTTGCAGATTAATTAACCAACTAATCGTTGCAGCTCTGGACTGGAGCAAGAGAGAGTCAGGCTATTAAAGCTGAATAACCCAGACAACTGCCACTGACAGCGGGGCAACAAGAGGAGACAGCGAGGTAGATGGAAACTTGCCCACATAACACGGTAAATTGATTTTGCCTATAGACTCGCCTTGACTGAATATATTAGAGCGAAACTAGAGACTCAAGCAAGAGAAAACTGTCTGCAGTTTACTATTGTCAGGTCAGCTGTCTTTGTTGCAATTATAGGATCTATTTAGTGCACACACACCCACACACACACACATCAATCAGAAAATGGACCGCAGGGAACAGCCATACAAACAGCTTTTGTGCATATTACCAAAGTGTAAGTAACTGGATACAGGAGGACGCAAAGCTCTTTTAATTACTGTTTTATTAACGTGGGGTTTAAAAGACGATATTGAAGCAACAGCTGGGGAGACCCAGAGATGGAGGGGGGGATTTCTTTGGAATGACATCAGAATCGCTCGCATAGACGGGCAATAATACTCGACTGTGTATATGTACAGACAACACACCGAGAATGCACGGGCCTTCACATAAAGACACATGGTTACAGTTTTAAAATCACAGTTGATGGAATATACAAATGCTTTTATATGATGAGACTAGCATGCAATCAAGTAGGTTTTCACATACAAGGAAAATATAATATAAATAAAGAAGAAAGCAAAGAAACATATGAATGAATATAAAGATGATAAAAGAAAATATGTTATTTTTAATTGGAAGCTGTACAGTTTGTTCAGGAATGACAAAAAGATAACAGTATGAAGTATATTTGCAAGATGATTGTAACAGGCTTTGGGAGTAATAGACTACATGTGACTGAGTAACGTAATCAGTCACAGTTATATTTAGTAAAATGGGATTATTTTTAAAATACATTTGTCTAAAATCTTGGTTTCCATTTTCTTTTTTAAGGTTACAATGTTCTGTTGTCTATATATATATATATATATATATATATATATATATAGAAAACATATCATCGTATTATAACACATTTATGTTACATATTTCTTTTCTCTTGTCTTTATTTGCATATTTGCTGTTGAGGTAATCCAAAAGTAATGGAAAGCGATCAAGTTACTTTAATGTGATACTTGGATTAGGTTACTGACGACATTTCCTAACAGATAATTAGTAACTGTATTGAATTACATTTTTAAAGTAACCCTCCCAACCCTGAACTTTACACATACAGACTCAAAAGCTGAGACAGCGACGGGCTGCTTATTCATTGTGAATGGGACATTGAAGCCTGGCACCGCCGGCTGAGCTACAGAGATTTAAAGCGTGCCTCCTCTGATGCAACGTGACAATTCGCTCTTTTTGATTCCTACAGAATTGAAAGCACAGAGTTGTTTACCACCCTGCTCCAAAACAGGAGTGCAGGGACAGGACATTGCGTGCTTCAAGGTAAAAAACAAACAACCACAAACAAAGCTATTCAGTACTGAGAAAACAAACCATCTGAAAGGAAATTAACTACTGCCTATGTTATCCCCTTTACGTGCTCAACACAACATATCCAGAGATCTGCAGATTAACGAGAGGCCAGAGGCTGACCGCTACTTTGCATCTGTATTGTACTCTGTATATATAACTGGTGCAAATGCAGCATGCAGAGTCTACAGCAATGCTAGAGGCTTGTGAGGATAAAATGCATGCTCATAATGACAATGCTAACGTTCTGATGTTGAGAAGGTATATTGTTTTCACCAGCTTAGTTTCTTGTGTTAACATGCTAATGGGGAATGGGACTAGACTGCAGGTTTTCGATCATAAACCAAAGTATTGAACAAATTCAACTTTTGACCCGATGATGGCGCTAACGGAAAAAGTCAGGGTCACCAAAGTTGATGTGGTAGGGGACATTAATGTTGAAATCAAATTTCATGGCAACTCATCCAATAGTTTGATTTAAATGTCATGTTGACGCTGGGTGACTCACTAAAGTCAGTAGGATTCATTCTCTGGTAAACATGAATGTCTCTACAAAATTTGGTGCCAATCCATCCAATAGTTGTTGAGATATTTCAGCCTGGACCACCACTGCCCGACATCCATAGAGCCAGCATGGCTAGCATGGCTAAAAATCCACTTCTGTGCCAACAATACTTTTGCACGACAGGAGATATTATATTCACTGCTGTTCTACGGCTGTGTGAGGCACCAGTGACACTTCTCACAGACTTCACCCTGATACT